CTGTAGCTTTACATATAAACATTTGCTTCTCACTCGTGCCAAGTCCATGAGTGATTGCAGAGTAGCTGGCCGGTGACTTAGCAGTCCCATCTGTTTTCTTTAAAATGTTTTTATTTATCTGTTTTTAAGAAAAAATTACATGTGATTCCCTTAGTGTGTTTTTCTTAGTGATGATACTCTGGATAGTCAAGACAAGCTTTTCTTTTTCTTCTCAAAGAATCAGTAGTTTGACTGAATATTTGAGAAGTAATAACAATACCAAACCTTTGTGGGAAGTAGTTCTCCAGACCTGCGTCTCTCACCCCTGCCGGCACGTGAGCATCATCTAGCTTTAGAAAAGCCTTGAGGCCCAGGCCCCTCCCAGTGGCTCTTAATTCCCTTGTCAGGGATGATGCCCAGTCATTGTGTATTTAAAATGCCGCCCACGTAATTCCAATGAAAAGTTAAGGTTCTGATTTTAAAAAAACAGCAGCGTCTTTTCTCATTTGCTTTCTCTTCAACCTTGAAAATAATTAAAGTTCAGAGTAAGATTAAGTAAGATAGTTACCTGTTCCAGTCCCACAAATTTAAAGTGATTGATTTAATCTTAAAATAATGTTTTTCTTCCTACTCAGTCGTGGGAAATTAACAGTATCGGCTATGAGCACAATCAGTGCGTTACTTCCTCCATCTTTATGGTTACTTTAGTCTAAAATAATGCTTTAGGCTGCCCGAAGGCTTTATCTTTTAGAATTGGTAGTTTGTAGACTAGTTGATTATAATGAGGACCGTGTTAAAAATGATGGCTATTCTCTGGTTGCTGTGTGTCCCCAAATGTCTAAAGAGGCCATCCTGGCTCCATGGCTCTGTGCAAGTCGTGTATGTTTCTGCTTGTAGGTTGCACTGCCATTTGCTCTATTGTTTGTTTTGACAACATTCTGTTGCTCCTTTCTATGTCTTCATGTGAAAGGATCTTGAGGATTTGTTTTCTATGTCTTTATCACATTCTTTTAGAATATTAAGACTGTCTTGGAGTTTGTGGTGACACTTGGCAGGTCAGCCTAGTTTTTTCAACCTCGTAAATAATGTAAGTACGTATCTAGTGTGGCCTCACCACTGCATTCTCTTTGCACATTATTTTGAAGAGCAGGACTTTTTTTAAAAAACGTCCTCACTTATTGGTAGTATCTCAGATAGTGGGCTGAACACCCCTCGTCTGGGCCTGGCTCTCAGCTCACCCCTCTCTCCTCCTCTTCCCGTCTTCCTCTTTGTCTTCCTTCCCTGTGACTCTCTCTCTCTGCCCACTGGGTCTCCTACATTTCAGCCCCTGCCCACACTCTAGGGTCCTGCGTGGGTTCATGTGGACTTTGTGATGTTGCCAAATTAGAGAGCTTGCATCAGTTTTAATCATTTCTCTTATTTATTTTTATACCTCCAGTTACATACATAGGAGGTCCCCCAAACCTCCATGAGTTAAACTAGTAAAATCAGCAGGTAAAGGAGGAGATCCAGTAGCTATGGCATTCATCTTTAAAAAGACACAATGTCTTTCAAGTCAGAAACAGGAAGAGCTGGACAACATGAACACATTTAAAGAATAGCTCTGCAAATGGAGAGCTGGCCTGGGTACTGAGAGCACACGGCCTAGGAGCATCTGGTACCCTGTACCTTGTGCCAGTGAGTGGCCAGTGACCATTGCAGCATCGTCTGTATGAGTTTGTTCCCATTCCGTGCCTCTGCAGAACCCTCTCAGCATAACAGAGCTTGTTAGGTGGTTTTTATAGGAAGGGGATGTACTGACTAGTCAACTTGAGTGTCTCTTTGGTAGTTATGACTCATTACGAATGAATGTATTTGCATCCATATTTGTTTATCAATCTTTTCATAATAGTAATATTTATAGCGGCAGCAATTGAGAACCTTGTGAGTTTGCTTAGATTGAAACCGTCCCCGAGGAGTTTCCCTGTACTGTGGATGAGAAACCGGAGGTCGGGCCCTCGCTCTCGCCCCCTGGGCCGCTACAGCGCGGCTCCTCCCCTGGCAGGGACCTCCCCCACCTACACAGAGGGGGGCACAGTCCTGGCACAGTTAACACAGGCGCCTCCAGGTGCCGCCCTTTCACAGACACCGAAGTCATGGTTTGTGGGAAAGGTCCTGGTTTCAGAAAGGTGTTTTCCCTGTGCTCATTGGGGAACTACAGGCTAAGATAACAGAAAATCCTAATCCAGCGTTTGTGAGTTCTCGTCCCTCTTGTACTTTGTTTAGAATTAAGTGTTCACATCCCTGAAATTGTTTCCTTTCTTGGGACCAAGAGATGCTCATTCATCTTGTTGTTGTTGCTAGTAGGCATAACTTACATACATACCTATATTTACATATACAATATACACAGTAAAAAGCTTTCTCCATCCCCTCCCCTCACCCTGGGCACCTCTTAGGCTTATTTCTCATCGTGCTGTCAGCTCACCCTGTCATTCTCTTACATGCTTGTGCTCTGAGAGGAAACACTGACAGTTTAAGATCTGTTCTTTCTGTATGATTCCAAGGAGGAAAAGAGAAAAACCATTCAGACATCTGTGGGAGACAAAAGGTGTGGTGGAACATCTGCAGAAATTAATATTGTTTCAATAACAAACACAAATTGTAAACTTTAAAGAAAGAACTATAGGTCCTAACAGTCAGTCTTCATGGAATACCTTGGTTTGGAGTACCTGGAATGTTGTTGGAGTGTTTGAATTGTAAGGTTTTACGGCGGAAATTCTGTCCTTAAATTGGGCTTGGGACGAGAATTATGGGCAGAATAAAACCGTTCTAGGAAATGTGATCTGCATGTTTGTAAATGTTTTTCTACAAGATGCATAATTGTAATAGCATAGGCAGCAGTGACTTGCGACTGCTCCCCTTGTTGGGGGGAAGTTGTAACTGCAGGGCCCATGACATTCTAGTGGAGACTGTCCTTAGCTCGGTGTAGGACCCTGAGGAGTAACCTAGACACTGGTGGGTGGAGGAACCAGGCATCCCCCAGCGTGCTCACCTTACTCTCATCTCACCTGACACTGAATGTGACTCTCCCGAACTCCTGACACCATGTTCCATCAGGTGGTGCTGGCCACCTCAGAATCGCTGGACCCTTCCCACTCCCGTCTGCACAAGTCTGTCTGAGACAGTACCACCTTGAACTGTGAATCCCTCTTGTGTTGTTCTTGGAGTCCTTCTGATTATTCCCTGTAGTCATTCTTTGTTCTCATCATTCCTTCTATGGTCTCCCAGTTATGGTTATATCTTGGCTAAGTAAACTGTAACTTCCTAATCGTTTTTCCTCTCCACTGGCTTATCCTTTAATGGTCTCGAACACCATGGGAGCTGTTGAAGACCCTTTCTTCGACAATGGCCAGTATTGTTTCTGTACCTTTTCATACGGTAGTTACTGAGCTCTTTGGCATATTATGATCATCTCAAAGTCAGAAACTGGGCTGCGCAGTCTTTGGTGTTCCCTGTACCATGTTGATTCAAGGTCTGAGTTAGCAGTATCTAATATTTAAGATTGAATAGCTTCTTACCCCAGTTCTCCTGTGAGCCCACAGTGCTGCTCTGAGCTCATAACCAGTCATGTCCTAGACACCCTGGCCCCCAGCCTGCCTGCAGCCAGGGCTGCTCATGCTGAGAAGCATAACCGGAGCTTTGTGCAGCACTGACCTCATAGTGGATTGGAGAGGCAAATACTTACAGTCGCTATAAACCCTCTAATTTGACATCGTAGTAGGTCATTTTGGTATACTGATAGGCTGAGTTTGGAGAGGGGCTGGCAACATTTAAACTAGAATTTTTAAGTGCATCTAGTGCCTATGTACTGATCTCTTTTTTGTAATCAAACCGTTTAATGGATTTAAAACTCAAGGAAAAATAATGGTTGTAATTTTAAATAAGCATTCATTTATGAGTAAAAAGCATTTTTGTATGTTACCATAGTTACCGAGCAGCTTTCCTGTGGTTCTAGAGAAAATGGGCTCTGTCATACAGAGTAACTCTGAGAAGTGCGTTTGGAGGCAGGAGTAGAAGACAGGGTGGTACAGGTTTCCCAGAGAAGCAGGACTTGTTACAGGAAGAGCCTTTTTGATGCCGAGTTTTATGTGGTCCTCCACTAAATAGTAACTATTTGATTGTGAGTGGAAATTTTCTTTTATCCAAAAGACACTAGTAGCCAACTTAACTGGGTATCAAAATTATAATCAAACTTTAGAAGTCTACTGCTACAGTGTACACGGGGTGCTGCTGTATTTATACGGGGTTTTAAAACTTTATTTAAATGAAAACATTAGACATTGCCTGTATTTGCAAACATCAACTGTATCTCAAAGGAATAAAATCAGGCAAATAAAGATGAGGCCAAAATGTTAAATTCAAAGAATCCGGAAGTGGCAGTTTCTGTACTGGAAGGAGAATGCATCTATCCCTGCTTTTGTGCCTTTGGTCTTAATAGTATTTGAACATTAGCGTTTTGATAATATTTCATGGGTTTAGGGTTGGGTAGGGTTTAATTTTATCTCATAATTTACTAAAAGATTATTTTCTCTGGAGACTGGCAGGCTGCTCACTGTGGAAGAATCCTGTCAGAACTGACTAACTTGGAAGGATTGGATTGAAAGGGTTGGAGGACCTGAGTCATAGAGGGCTGGCGGAACACGAGAGGTGGGACAGGAATGCCAGTGAGCGCAGATGGTGGAAAGGGGTGGGGCGAAGTCAAGAGAATGGTCTAGAACAGTTGAGTTCACTTCTGTTTTCCCTTCCACAGAAGTGCTCTCACGTGAAGCATCTTTCATCCCTCCCTAGAGTGGTTCCCCAGCCCCATGTGCTCTCCAGGGGCTCTCCTCTCTGTACTGACCACAAACCTCTCTGGGACCCCTGGACCCTGTTCCATGGTGTTTTTGTGATGGTCCAAGGAAAGTCCCGGCCTTTTAACCAAAACACTTACTTTCCCATAGGAATTATTTGTTAGTGAACTTGGAGGAACACATAGAACACAATTTGAAAAACTATTAAAGTTTAATAAGAACATTGAGATGGTCACTCTCTGCAGTGGAATAACATCTCTTCCACCAAAGGTGTATAATTGTCGCTAAAATAGTCTGAAGGCTGAGGGACATTTCGGGGAGCATTTTCAGGCGGAAAGTCCTCTCCATTGGCGGTTTTCACTCGACTGCTTAGAACATTCCCAGCATTTGCCAGCCTCAGTGACTGACGATGGGGCAGAGGTCTGGTGGGGCAGCTCGTGGTGAGGCAGCTCAGACCCCGCAGGAGAAACGCCACTCACACCTCTGGAAGCCCGTCCCGGTTGGCCATCTTTGGTCCGTCTCGTCCACACGGTCTCACGTCACGTGCCAGTATTTTCCCTCCAACCTAAAAACAAAAACAAAACAAAAACTTCCCCATCCTCATATATTACAGGCCCATTTTAAGGAAGTTTGTAGCCACAAGGAGCTTTAGGAGTGAGTCCTCCCAAGAGAACATGATAACCCCTATGGAATTTGAAAATACAGAATTCCTTCTGAAAAGCAGTGGCACAACCCACACTTCATAAATTGCTGTACTTGCTTAGCCTTTGTAGAGTCTGTGTGATGTTCTGAGTAGCAGGTTTAGCAGTAATCCCTTAGCGACCAAAGCTTTTGTAAATTATGAATACACTTCCCATTTCCTAGACCGTGGTCTCTGTCAGGCTTTTGTGTGGGCGATAACTGCTTTGACTCCATTTCTCCGTTAGTCTTTACTTTCAGTATTTTTCTGTTGTTATTTTGAATAGATCCTTGTGAATCACCATGAGTCCATTTTTAGAATAGGGCAGGGTATAAATCTCTTATCAGATATGCCTGAAAAGTTTTATCTTCTGATAAAGAATTTCAGCCACCGGCTAGCAGCTTGACACTTAAACAGTAATATTTGTGGTGGTTTCCAGTCTATTTGGATCCTGCCTGTGCCTCCTGGGGCATTTAAAGTCGCTACCAGAAAGTTATGTGGCCGTGCAGACGAGTATGAATTCAGTCCAGCTGATTAATCAGTGCCTCTGACACTCTGGGGAGTTTAGCGCTGAGTGGTCCCTGGGGGCCCATCTGCCGTGTCTCTCTGGTTTGAAGTCCAGCCTTATAGTCAGAACTACAGCTGCAGCTTATCTTCTGCTCATTCAAAAGCTAAATAAAATATTCTAATGCTATCTGTTATCTGCCTACTGACTTTAATGATTATTCGGATTGACCTTAAAAGGCCACTGTAAAGCTGCATTCTAAAATTAAGTGACTGTCACGCACAGGCCTAGTGGATGTCATTATAGAACAGATGCAGCCAACCGTGAGCTCTCTGCGGCAGCTCAGATGCGAGCGTAGCATCTTACGTGCCTGGAGAACATGAAACTGAAGTCCACATAAAGGGCTGTTCGTGAAAACCATGCTCTTGATGACCTGTTCTCCTGTGTTCTACAAAGTTAGATCGTTTAATATATTATACCAGGCAGTAAAATGTTTGTTTTCTGACCATGAAGGTGGACTCGGGGGTGGTGCATTTCACCCCCCTGACCCAGCCGAGGATAGAGCAGCCATTCAAGCTGGTGGAGAGAGTCGTTCAGAATGCCTTTCAGTTCCGAAGGAAATACTGCCATCGAGGGCTTGGGTAAGAACGCTTTCTCTTCCTTTTCAGTAGCACTCTTTACCAACGCCTCAGTCACCTTCAAAGAGTAAGAACTTTGTTTTTATGATTGTTCAACGTGCCTGTAAACATTACTCTTAGTTCAGATCCTGTGATGAACAAACCTTGATGGCCACTGAGGAGAAAGCAAAATGTTGATTTAACCTGAGATGCCACCGAGAGGTTCTGTTTGGTTTGATCATTACAAACTAAAACTGACATCACAGTTTATAGTGAGCCTGTACTGGGGAGGTCATGACCCCTCACACTCAGGACTCAGACCATCTGAACTGTTTTCAGTCTCGACACTTCTGGCACTGAATGTGTGGTGTTTTCCCCAACACCGACGAACTCCCTAACGCTCCAGACAGCACCTGGGCGTCCTACAACTTAATTCTAGTCTGGTCATTCACTACCTGGCGTTAGCGCAGCGCCTCAGCTTATGGGCCCGGTGCCGCAAGGCTGTCCCCACTTCAGTCGCCAGTCGCGGGTTCCAGGTTGCAGGTTCCACTTGCATTTATAGCCATAAATTGGCAATTTCCACGATCCCGTTCATCTTCAGGTTGAGTAATTTGCTAGAATGGTTCACAGAACTCACTGTCATGTATCAATTTTAAAGGCTATAACTCAGGAACTACCAAATGGAAGGGAGGCACAGGGCATCACATGGGGAGCAGGGTGCACAGAGCTCCCGTGCCCTCTCAAGGTTTCTCACCCTCCCTGCACCTCAGTGTGTTCACCAACCCCGAAGCCCTCCAAACCCCATCATTTGGGGGTTTTATGGAAGCTCCATTACCTAAGCAGGACTGATTAAATCATTGGCCTTTGGCGATGGAGCTCAGTTTTCCAGGAGTGGAGCTGAGAGAGGTGCATCCTTCAGTCACGTGGTTGGTTCCTCTTGCCACTGCCCCGTCCTGAAGCTTTCCAGGGGCCACCAGGAGTCGCCGCATTAGCACAGAGCCCAGATGTGGTTGAAGGGGGCTTGTTACGAGTAACAAAAGATGCTCCTGTCACCCCGTCACTCAGGAAATTCCAAAGATTTTAGAAGCTCTGTCTCAAGAACCTGGGACAAAGACCAAATATATAGTTCCTACCATCACACGAGCTAGTGGGTTTTAATTGCTTTCTTTCCATCCAGTTGTTATATCTCTTGAAGCTTTTAAAGACGTACTTAGAAGAAGGAAGCAAATATGACTTCTGAGTCGCCAAGACAGTGGCTCGAAGTATCCACATGAGCGCATTTCCATTCAGCGGCGGCTCCTGTGTTCAGCCGTGGGCGCCGCTCTGGCCAGGCCCTGAGGTACGTCCGGAAGCCCAGACAGAGAAGGCGGCCTAAGAGTCTGCGGCCTGATGGCCCTGAAGTCACCGCAGCAACGTGTTACGTCCGGTGACAGCCTAGAAAGTGGGTAATTAGGCCCAACTGCAGTCTGTGTACGAAGGCAGGAAAGTGTATGTGTATTTTTAACAGACTTTCATCTAATATAGTCAACTTTAGCTGTTTAAGGGGGTTCAGCTTCAGTGGCCCGTACTTATTTTCTAAGAATAGCTCCATTTCAGTTCTCTCATTTGTGAAGGGTCCCTACAGCACATGAAACTACTTCAGGCACAGCTAGACAGCTGCATCCTGAATCCACTGGAATCCACAGAGCACGCTCTTGAGGATGTGAGAGGGCTGATGGAAGAAACCTCACCCTGCCGTTTGCTGGCTCTAGTTAGTCCAGCGATCATAGGTCAGCAGCGTTCCTGCTTCTCTAGCTGGGGACAGGGGTGCCACCGGCGATCCTCGTGCTAATTAGGATGAAGGCCCCCCCTGCTACGCTGCAGCACCCCACCCGGCCCCCGCCAGGATGCACGACTTGAAGTAAAACAAGCTGGATTCCACACAGGGTGTGACCCGTACAGTTGTACATGATAGCCCTGATTCGTGGAGGGAAAAAATTACAGAAAGTACATCCTACTTGTAGAAATCCTGGAATTGGCCTGAGCCCGGAGTTGGCCCTAGTGTTTCCAAGACAACCCCCCAGCTAAGTGATGGGCCCCGTTTACTTCACATGCACAGACCCCTATGCAGATACGGACCAAATCTTGTAACCCACTTTGACCTTTTGGTGTCCTTCAGTCACACCACACCACAAATCAGTCCCAGATCATAGTTAGAAACTATGATCAGACCCCTGCTTGCCATGAAAGTGAACTCAGCGATCTCAGTCAGCTCACCCTGAGAATGTAGGGACACGCAGCTCCTGGTTGCGGGGACCATCAGCCTGTAAGAAAAAGTCAGTGTCCTCTCGCCACGATGTCTTCCGAGCCCTCTGAGACTTGAGAGAAGAAAATAAAATCCAGGTGTAGCTTTGCAATATTTCAGTCAGTCAGTCACTTGTACTATTCATTTTAAAACAATGATCTGATTTAGACGAAATTTAAAAGGTATACTTTGAATGAATTTTAAGATGCTTCAAACATCTTAAAGAGGAAAATAACTTTCTAGTTTCACATGAACTGTTTTCTAACTTTGCAAAGAAAGGTCATTCTTTTGGGATGAAGAGGTCCAAAGGCTGGTAAGTTCAAGTTACAGAGAATCAAAAGTGCACCAGAAATAATATGCAATTTTTATATTAAAATGTGAGGCACAGCAAACTTATGTTTCTTTAAGAATGCAACTGAGCATATGATAAAATTTACCTTCAAGATACACGTATTGATTGAGCTTTAGAAACTCCTTTCTCATGTGGACACACCGTGCAGGTCCGATTAGCTGTGCCTTCAGTGGTGGTTCGTACCTGTTGCCTGGTGGCGTAAGCAGAGTCCTCCACTGGCTCGGGGTCCTGCAGGGCTCTAGGGGTGGAAGAAAAGCCTCTGCAAAGTTGTCAGTTGTCAGAACCATGCCGGTTTCAAATGAGGGTAGAAGGAAGCATGATGATGGGCAGAATTTTAAGTAGAATTCTCACATTTTTCTCTTCCTTTCAGAATGTTATTCCCTGAAGCCCAGCGATTAGAAAGCACTGGGAAACTGTTACAGTTGGCCGATGTGGACCCTACTCTTCGACCCACCCAGCTCTCTGTCTTACATTTTAAGAGCCTCTGTGACGCATACCGAAAAATGTGTGATGAAGACCCACACCTCTTTGCTTACAATTTCAGAGAAGAACTCAAGCAAAAGGGGATGGCAAGGAGAGTTACAGACTGTAGCTGCTATGTCAGGGGCTGGCAGCCGACTGGATGTTGATGTTCACAGAGTTGAACTTCTCCTATGTGTGCTCCCCAGGTGTGACTTACTCCCCTTTTACAGCTTGGTAAAGAGAATAAATATCGTCAAGTAAGGTACAGTACAAGCTTTCTTTTAATATATATACTGCATAGATATGACATGTTTAGTATAAACAGCATCTATTACAACCTTACAAAAATGAAATACCTGCACATTGTACCCCTAACCCACATGAGAATAATTTAAATACGCTTTAAATAAAGCAGAACCTAAGAGCGCAAAGGAAATGCCCAGAGGATTGGAAAAAATGATCTTTCAAAAGCTATTCATCACAACTTCCCCACCCTTTTCCACATAAATTAATTAGAACGCAGTTTCATTTTAAGGTTTCTAAGTCATTTTGATACCTGCTCAAAAGGGATACAAACTAAGTAATTTACAGATTCTGACCAGTTTAATCTAGTTTTCTGATCCACAATAAATTAAAATAACTTAAATCTTTACAAACTATTTTGTGGGAAAAATGTATACTGCACAAAACCCAATAATGAATAGTTTTTCTGCAATTTCCATTTTACCCCCAGTTTAAAAGTGAAACCAGCAACTTAACCCATATCTGGATTGACCTGTATTATGCCTTTCCATGGCTCTCTGTTTCATAAAAACACTCCTCGTTGACGACCGACGTTAAGCTCTGGACGCTGAATTCTCGCTCGAGAACGGAGCTGAGATCAAGGTTGGCATTTTCCGATTGACTGTCCAGGGACTGGTGACGCATCTGCGCCTTCAGCAGAGTTCCCCTGTCCCTCTTGGTGCTGTTGGCTTTGCGTTTGATGGCGCAGAAGTGCCCCCGGACCAGCTTGGGCTGCCCGTCCTTGCCGGGCGGCTGCTGAGCTGGCCGGGCGTCCGGGTCCTCCGAGATCCTCAGTCTCTGGAACTGGATCTCGATGTCTGTGGTAGGGCTGCCCTGCTTCCCAGCCTGGTGGTCGTCCTCGTCGTCGTCGCTCAGAATGTCGCTCTCTTTGATGAGACTGTCGGAGAAGTCGGCCAGGCCCTCGTGGGGGTGTTTCTGGGCGTCCTGTCTGCTCCCGGCCGGGGGGCAGCCGCTGCTCTGGGTGCCACTGCTCAGGCTGCCCTCATCCGAGTCCAGCGAGCTGCCCTTGCCCGGCTCCCCGGGCCACTCGCTGCTGGAGGAATTCTTAAGGACTTTTAAGGACCTGGATGAAGCTGCAGTGAGAAAAGCACATTTTCCCTTATGGTAGAGGAACCGATTCCACAGTGTGTTCATTTGTTCATTTCTGCCTTGTGGGTTATCAGATTTAACATCTTAATTAAAATTTCATCACCTCACTTCAATCCTGGGACTAAAAAAAATGTAGATACTGCAAATACGGACATTTTTTATTTATGTTTATTTGAAATTTTAAGTTGGAATTTGGCATTTTTTAGAGGACCAATTACCAGAGCTTATTACTGAGAACAATAAGCTATAAACTATCATAAGGGCTAGGCTTATTACCAATGAATAAATTTAAAAGTTAGTTTTACAGCTAATTAATGAATAAATTAGCTCTTGCTAATGAATAAATTTAAAAGTCAGTTGCTAATAAAATCTAGGTTCCTTTCTTTCACTAAAGTACTTTGTAGTTTGAGAACTAAGATTACACCACCATATTTCTCTGCCCACCTTCTCACCGGTTCATTTCCCTTGCTGCTCAATTAAAAGTACAAAAATGCTTTTTCTCTCTCATGAGAACTGTCTCTGCCGGAATTTCTAGCCAACTTTGAGATTTAACATGAATATTGAATCGTGTGTGTGTGTGTGTGTGTGTGTGTGCGTATAATTCCTTTCTCTTGGGTAGAAGGGAAAGGGGGAGCTCAGTTGTGTTTCTGCAGACAACAGTGTATTTTTAATGGCTGTAGCTTATTTTGCCAGTAGAGGAAAAAATATATGGTAAATTTGAGGAGGTCAAACTGTGACCAAAAAGAAGAGATACACTTTGTAAGACTAAAAACTAGATCAGTGATATTAACAAAATAGTTAACATAGAAAGAAGGTTCTAAAAATTTAAGCTGACATTTTAAAAACGGGCAGAAAGTTGAAGAACAGCATGATTTGGAATGTTTACCTGTGGGCTTATTAAGAATGAGTATTAGCGAGCATTAGGTTTCTTGACCTTCATTCACTGAGTGTTGACCTTCTAGAGGCCTTGCACTGTTCTGAGCACCGGGAATGCGGCAATGAGCACAACAAAGTCCCTTGACTCCTGTACATCTCAGTGGAAGAAAGACAGAAGACGGTAAGTGCAGACTGTGTCAGCAGGTGAAAGACGAAGGATTTGGATTGGGGGTGCTTATGTTTTATAAAAGGAGGTCTGGGACCGAGCATGTTTAGGCTTCTTAAAAGGAAATAAAATTGCTGCTACATTCTCATGTCACCCTGTGTATCGGGTGTGTGGTGTAGAGCTTACGAAGCTACTGCTCATGAGTTACAAAGTGATGACCTGCTGCTCTCTCCTGAAAGCATACATCCTTGCAGAGGAGCTCGTCATGTTTTCCTGAATAAACCCAAGGCTAGCAGAGTTCTTACCTAATTTGGCTGAGACAGGAACGCGGTTCTTGAGGGGTACCAGGCGATCTTTACATGTTTTCTCCAGAGGTAATTCACACTTTATGTGACGCCTGAAGTTCTCCCTCAGAATAGATCGAATCACCTTGACAATGTTGGTTTTGCTTTCGTTGTCACTGGCGGGGAAAGAGAAGACATGGTGTAGTGTCTGCTGTCTCGTCCTGCTTCCGTTCCACGCCTCCTGGCCCTCCCGTGGCACGTGACTGCTCTCAGCACAGACTGACAGCGAGTCACCCAGCCTCTGTGTGCCTCGGTCTCTCGTCATTTACAAAAGGAGCGAGAATTGATCGCTTTTGAACTTCCTTCAAGCACTAAGATTTGGATGTATATTTAATCAATGTATATTCTCCTAGAGCCGCAGTTGCCAGTTTGGAGAGGGTGGGTGTGATCCTGAAGTCATCAACATTTAGGAGGGCACTAAAAATAAACCCACTTTTAAGAGAACATAATTCTGTCTTATGCCCGTTGGCTTTAATTTCTGGCAGTCAGTAATACCTGCAGCACAACTGAAAGATGGTTTCTGGCCGTCCTTCTATTTCTGACTTGGTGTGGATCAGCTCCCATAAGGAATTATTTTCTGTCCCTGTGTAAAAAGAAACAAGGGGCCGCAAATTTGCCAAAGATGCTGTGGTAAAGGACACTTGTGAAGCTTAAAAACCACAACTTTAGTAACTTTTTAAAGAGTTAACTATTCCCCATCCTGACTCTCATCATTTTCTGGTGTGGCTCCTCCTATGTATGACTTTCACACATAGTTACAAGAAGTTAAATACGTTGTAGTTACTTTGTACACTTCCTGCTAAGGTTTCCCATCCGTCTTGGTGCTTTCGCCCTACCCTGGATTCCACCTCTGGGAAAGAGGTTAAATGGATCCCATTTTTCAACCCCGTTCCTTAGAAGGAACGGTAGGATGTGCTCAGGCTCTTGAGGTAAAGGAGGCCAGCCCCAAACTCAGTCATGGTCCAGGAAACATGAGCCCTTCCAACGAAAACTGAACAGGGGCCCAGCCGTCACTGCGGGCCTCAGCCTGTTGGTCCTTTGCTTAACCAGAGGTACTGTCACCAGGACAGGGTTATTCTGAAAGGATCTCTGAACATTTTCCACAGTGGAAATTTTTTTTTTATATCACCTGTAATAAAGCTTAATCTTAAGAAATTTTCTGGTGTATCAAAATTTGTAAAAATTTAAATTTGTGGACCTTTGTTTCTTTAACAAATTTTAGAGATAGATATTATCCCTAAAGTTATTAAAATAATTAGAAATATTAGGATATTAGAAAAATGTTGAAAACCATCGACAGTGAAAATAAGGAAGCAATAAAGAGAGGTATTTGGCAAAGAAAAGCCATCCACTGGCATTTACTTTCTCCAATCTCTCTTGTCCTCATTTTCCTTGCCTATAAGATAAAATACCAAAAATTATTCTCAGGTTCTTTGCTACTTTTTTCATTCCACAGTTTAAAAATTCCCTTAAAATGTTTTTTCTGGCACTTGTACGACACACAACAATTACCTGCTGTATTCCCCAGTCTGACTTGAAGCGCGGATATGGGGATCAACCAGCGAAACTTAAACGGATCCAGGTCAGCAGAGTTGTGTGCCGGCCGGGAGTTCGACGGCTGCAGCGTGAGAGCCCACCAAGAACAGTGTTAAAGCAAGCTCGCTCCCGCGGGCACGTGCGCGCACGACAGAAGCTGTGAGCTCACCCTGGTGCAGACCTGCCACCGTGTGGGGCTCAGGATGCAAAAGGGAATCAGGTCAGGTGTGCTCTCAGGGATTGGGGACAGGGCAGAGTCATGTTTTGGGAAGCAGAAAGTTCTAGATCTTTAAGCAAAAATGACAAGCAAGCTTTCCATGACCCCATGTTATCTCTAAAAAAAAAAAGAAACCCAAAATTACACAGACTCAGGTGTATGGAGAAAACGTGGACCATTTTTAGGGATAGAAAAGCTGGTTTTCTCTGTCGGGCCCAGCATGGGTATTTGTCTACATCTTCTTTTAAAACAGACGTCTTTGGTGGGGAGGATAAGAAACACCTTGAGTATCTGATTTAGTTAGTTACCTCCGGAATAAGTCGCATCACTCAGTGAGGCCTTAATCCTTAGCAGGCTTCCCAGTTCAACAATAGGAAGATAACAGGCATGAAAAGATAGCTTTAATTAAAATTAATTCATGTCTTACCAATTTCTTTTTCAGTTTGCAGTTTTCTTTATAAACCAATATGACGGCTCTCTTAAAAACTAAAGAAAGGAAAAAAGAAAGAAAAGACTTTCATTATTTAATACACACTCTCCCAAGGTTGAACTGTAGCTGAATATTTTAATAGAACAAAGCTCTACAAGATCCCATGATGCTGACATGAGTGAATAAGTGGTACTTCCTTCTGTTCATATTTGAATTATGCAGAGGTACCTGCTAATTTAAGAGCCATTATCTGAAGGAGATCCTGGCATTTTGTTTTCTGAATTCCTGTTTTGTTTTATTGAACGCTGAGGACATGTGTGTTCGTCTCAGTGAGCATGCACGGTCTATACCCACTCTCCCAGCTGTCCGGGAGAATTAAGACATTCTGAAGTGCAGCAAACTACTAAGATAGCAGGTTTCAAAATAGCCTCGGGGAGATGTGTTCCCGTAACACGGTGAGATCCACTAAGCCAAGCAGAAGGGAGGAGATGAGTGTGTAGGGCAAGGGTTCTAAAGAGTTGGAAGCTGTCCATGTTAAGTCAAAGCCATTAGAGCAATGATTCTAAGTCCTTCTGGAAATCACGAGTTAGCTGGGTTTAGCAGGTTCTTCATTCTTGACAGCCTCTTTTAAGTTTACATTCTTTTGAATGGAGTACTGACCGAATACTGTGAGCTCGAGGTCCTTTCTGGCTTTTCCTAGAGACAGAAATGGATTCAACCAGGACACTGTAGAGTGCATCAGAAGTTCCCCCATTGAAAGTTCTGTGACCTAAATGGCAAAAACAGGAGATCAAGAAGACGTGGAAACCCTGGGGGGAGGCTGTCTCATATGAGAGAGGGATCACACATATATGGTCACAGAAGTACGTTCACTTTGATTTTTATGGTTCCTGTAAACATGGGGCCTTAAATAGTGGCGATTTTGAAAATATGAGCTAAGCATCAAACTGTTTGAAAAATAACATGAACGTGAAGGCATTTTGCTCCAATGCACACATTGTTTGTGGGTGAGACACGCCTCCTGCCCTGTGGGATGGCATTCCTTCCACCCCAGTGTCAAGGTTCATCCCAAGTGCCTTTGTTAACATTTCATCCAAGACCTAGTACACTCACCACCTCTAATCCCAAAAGCACACTAGGCCTGCAGAGGTACCAACGTTGAAACTGATTGTAATAAAAAAAAAAAACTACAGCTGTTTTCTGTTCTTGTCTTTTTCTATTTAAATTATATTACTTCTTATATGTAGGCTTTTTAAAACTCAAAATTCTAAATTTAGTAATCCAGCCAGAGAAGAAAAATAGAGAAATTGTGACGTTCCACTTAAACTACTTTTGTAAGTAAGGAGGTAGCACCGATATTTGAGGTTAGAAAAGAAAAAAACAAAGAAAAGCTCTTTTTTTTTTTTTTTGCGGTTTGCAGGCCTCTCCCGTTGCGGAGCACAGGCTCCGGACGCGCAGGCTCAGCGGCCACGGCTCACGTGCCCAGCCACTCCATGGCATATGGGATCTTCCCGGACTGGGGCACGAACCCGTGTCCCCTGCATCAGCAGGCGGGATCTTCCCGGACCGGGGCACGAACCTGTGTCCCCTGCATAAGCAGGCCGACTCTCAACCACTGCGCCACCAGGGAAGCCCAAGAGAAAAGCTCTTAATTCTCTCCACATGCTGACTGCCACTGCCTTTATCCATCCTACCCCCACCAGCCCCAGCGCTCCATTTATGTTCTAGCCTCTGGGATCTGTCTTAACCTCACACTCCACGGGAAAGGAGGAAGAGGTACAGATACGAGCTCAGTGACATTTCTTCTTTTTTTTAATACGATATTAACAGGACATAAGGTTATATTTTTAAACCCATGTAATCAATTTTATGTTACATTTATACCTAAGTGGTGATGCCTGTTATAAGCATTAAGATCAGAAAGAAAATTTTAGGCATTTTCTCCTGCACGAAATCCCTAACAGGTGACCTCCAGACCCGGGGGTCACAGGCATTCAGCCTCTCAGAATCCGGAAGTCCGACTGACCTCCTTCTCTGTTCCGCTCTGCTCTGCCACCAGCTGGTCGAACACCGTCCCGTAATCCTCGTGTATCTTCTGCATCTCGTTGATGTGGCTTGCTACTGTCTCCATTGCCTTCAGGGCTTCTGCAAAATACGCAGTCATATTTACAATTTTGGTTTGTTTGAAATCCTGCCCAACAGCAGTAATGAAAAGGTTCAAGATTCAAGCCAGAATCTGAGACCCGTTCTCACTAAGAGCAGCAGCATTCGAGTATGATGCAAGCAGCCCACGGTAACCTAGTTACAATAATGAAGAACGGCAGAGTTCTCTTCCACCTCAAATTCTTTTTGAAATGAGGCAGAGTACGAGTAAAAAGTATCACTAATAATAAGCTGTTTATTGAGCACTTCCTATTTGGCATGTTCTATGAGGCGATTTATGTGAAGCATCTCATTTAATCCCCACAATAACTCGATGACTGTAGGACCTGTTATCAATCCCATTTTACAGATGAGAAAACTCAGGTGCAGCGGGGTTCCGTTTTTTGCCAGACTTCCAAAGACAGACGTAAGGAGTGGAGCCAGAATTAAAATCCGAGGCTGACTGGCCACAGGATACCTGCTTTTAAACTTTGCCTCTCCTCCTGGACCACTTACTGGAATAGTGATCAATGACAATTTTTCTTAACAAGAAGTTGCAAGAGCCTCTGTAAATGCCCAGTTGCCAGAGCAATTGTTTGCATTCATGCGTGGGCATGTGAGGGACAAAATGATTTCATCCAAGGCAAAAAGAAAATTTCAAGTCACCTCCAAATTCACTATTTTTCATACTTTGTTCTTCTGATTTGGTATTTTAATTCAGTCTGGAGGGACGTTGGGAAGAAAACTTTTTAACAGACCCCTTTTAAAGATCATCTTAATGCAAAGTGAACTATTCCCACAGTATTTGAATGCTAATCATAATTTGTATCATTTATGTATAAGCTTTAACTTTCATACAAAAAAATTATCCTCATTACTTACGATACAGAAGTATGCTTGTCACAGAAAAACAGCTAGTTTCATTTACACTCTTCTTGGTGTTTGCTATTCAGTAATACTAATATTTATTAATAAGTTTGTTTCCCTCTCCACATGCTTTATTACAGGTACCGTAACTGGACCTCCTAGCTTTGACACGTGGAGAACACATCACTCTTTCTCTGCGATCCAAACAGCAGCTCTTTAACGGATACTCTGTTTACTATCAAAGTGAGGGGCTTTGTGTACCTGACAAATTTGTATCTTAGGCCAATAATTTCTGAGGTTACAAAAGAAGACACCTCCGCGTCAGCCGTAAAAAGCTTCCCGGGTCCTCGGGTGTTGGTTTCAGAGTCAGGCTCTGCTCAGAGCCGTCCACAGGGTGGAGCCTCACACAACATATCTGATCAGCCGCACTTGGGCAGCAGACCACACACAACTTCAAAGTTGTAGGAAAACAGGCCGGGGTTTTGGTCCTGGCAGCACTGTTTGTTTGTGAACCACGTAACCTGAAGTAGTTTATTTCAACTCACTGAGCTTAAATTATCTTCTCTGAAAAATGGAAACACCCTTCCAGAGGCTATTCCAGTGAGATAATTTTTGCCAAAATATTTTGCCCACCTTACAGGGATGGCCATATTACCTAGCTATTTTCACATACTAAAATGGTACCTAAGGCTAACAATCACAGTACTGACAAATGCCAGAATGTGAAAGCAAGCAGGGAAGAGGGGAGCTCGTGGGCCTGGGGGGCGGCAGCCGTCACATCGCGGCCTGGGCCCCTCGCTTCTTACCTGTCAGGTGGTAATGCTCTTCGCTCTCGTGGTCTGTCAGGGACACGAGCTCCTTGAGCAGCAGTGGGTACTTGAGCACCCTCTGAACGGGCTTGATGAGGTAAGACTCCAGAGTGGAGGAGTGCTGCTTGGTGGGGTTCCGGGCGTCCAGAAAAGCCTTGAAGGCTTTATCAGTTTTAGCTACAAGCAGATGCATTAAAAGACCCTTAGAAGAGCACAGGAGGATGAATGAAATTCTGCTTCATTTAGGTTTTAATGGAATTACAGATGATCCACTTCTACAGTCCTCCTAATGACATCCTTCAAGAAAAACCCAGAGGCACCCGTGGGTCAGCTGCCCGGCTGTCAGGGTGGATTCAGCACCGCCGCTCTGTGATGAATCCCATGAGAGCTTAAGGGGGCTTACCAGGCTGCCAGAAGAGTCCCAGCCACACATCAAGAGGAACATGGAGTCAAAGTGCAGGAGTGTCTGACTTTAAAGGCACATTCACATGCATACCCGTCAGAGAGATTGGCATAGGTGCCGGAAAAGTGAGTTTCAAACGATTCATAAAGCCACAAAGCAGTGTATCCAAACCCTATGCCATACCCCCCAAAAGGTTCATAGAACAAAACAAACCAGTGTTTTTTTTTCACGGACCTAGCGCAAATTGTTTCCTATTCTATACACTTGAGGGCTATCTGCAAAGCAAGTTTTTTCCTTTAAAAATAAGTTGATAAGCACTGCAGCCTCCATCTCTACAGTTCCAAGCAATCTAAACCTTCCACCAGATTCAGACCCCTCTGGGCAGTGAAAACCACCTCTCTGTTCCGTGTCACGAAGGTACACACACGAACCCAAGTGCTTTCAGTTATGAGGGTGCCAGTGGACACCCCAGCTGTTGCTTTGGATTCCACCTGCTGGCACTGGTTGACCAGCTGTTGGAATTCAGCCCATTTGGATGAAAACAAATCTTTATTTGGGGTTTTGTACAAAGGTAAAATGGAACTTGTAGGAGATGCAGTACCATTCTGAATGTGGCTACTACACAAAGTGGATGGGGAGATGATCCTTCATCTTCGTGGCAAAGAAGGAACTGAGCAAACCATTGGTATGCTTTTAATTTACTACACTGTCGATAAGAAGGTGTTCATGGGAGGAAGCTAGTTCTTTCTGGTTTAAAGAACTAGAGGAGACAGATTGGGCTCTGTCTTGTTGGCCTGAAGCACTCCAAGACTTCCCTTTTTCAACTTGAGCCTGTTCTAGGATTTAAACCAAATGGCAGAACTGCATCAGTGGACCTGGCTAAACACTGTCGGTGTCTGGATGAAGCCTACGCTCCCTCCACGACAGTACAGAGAGGCCATTCCCCACTTCTGAAAAAGAAACACGGAAGAGCAAACTCCGGATTCTTTATGGCAATGCCATCAAGGAGCGTTTGATGACAGACAGAAAGGGCTTGGAACGTAGCTTGGCTCCTACTTCCCTGCTGACACAACTAAAAAAGTTCCAATGCAGAATCCCCTCCAACACTCGCCGTCGTCACGCAAGACAGCCCTGATTCACCGGGCAAATCATAACGGGAGTGAACTACACGAGGCCAACCTTAACTGTGAAGAAGGCATTCAAGTCCTGGGGAAGTCACTTTTTATCCTGGGAATTTGTAACAGTTTAAGCTTCAGTAGGTTCAGATCCTACTTCCAGGTACACTTGAGAAAACGCAGGTAGCCTGGCGAGCTTCCCTGGAGACGGTTCAGGTGACCTTCAATAGGATTGCATATATTTTCATAAGACGCCTTCCACTGTAGGACCCATGCAGAACAGGAGCAACCCCTGGGGACCTGTATTTGTTTGATGTTCTCCGTGTAGGTTGAATTACTGCTGCTCATGACCTTGAGCTTAAAGGCCTCCTCTCATCTCTTCCCCAGAAATGAGAATTCCAAAGAATGGGATAGAAAAATATCTTCTGAAAGAGACAAATCCGAGAATTCTAATCTCATACCTAAAGAGGTGTGTGATGACTGAAAGAAGCCTTTGGTAATGACAAAACCTCAGTTGAGCATTGCTAGTTTAGGGTGTGGTAAAGGAAATGTTCACATATTGAGGTCTGGGGAAGTCATTCTGGCCTATACACGAGTTAACTTTAATGTAAAAAACAGCCTGTTCGTGGCCTTTCAAACATACACTGTACATCTGCTTTAATTATTAAAGAAAAGGGTGCATTGACCAGAAGTAAAGAATGTCCATGTTAAAATTAAAGATGAAATGCCTCCCTTCCCGGGACGCCAATGCTGGTCCTCATTCCATGATAAGACTTCCTTCCCAGGTGCCAAGGCCATACTGACTGGCTGTGTACGTGCTGATCTGGTTTTCCTGAAATCTGGAAGGAATGTATCCCTGACTTGTTTGATGTTCTTTGTTCTGACAAGACATGAAACTGTGCTGACAGCCCTGCTTCTCCAGACCAGATCCTCAGAGGAATCAGAGAAGCTGTCTTCTGGGCAGTACTCCTCAGTCTGGCTCAAATAAAACTCTTTTCTATTCCTATTATAGACTGTTTATTGATTATTTTTGTCAACAGGTTATTACAGGAATAGCTTAAACACTGGGTTGATGACAACAGTGATGGTGACTGTGGCACAAAAACTCCCTCCAACACTCCTACACCTGGAGAAGGTCACTGCTAACATCAAATCTCTGACTGCGCTTCCCAGGACGGGTGACTGGCCGGCCCGTCACTGAAAGCCCAGGCAGATCAACGTGTTGGCCACCTGCCCCCAAGCTGACCCGCTGCAAGTCGGCGGCCAAAGCTCAGGCATCTCGCCAGCTCCACAGAGTAATGTTTGCTGTTGACATGAAGGGGACGAGCAATGCAGGTGGGTCACCCAGGTCCACTTGGACTTCAGAAAAATAAAAATGTTCAATTAAAGTCAATAAAATAAAATAAGACGATAACAATGTGGAGAGACGGAAGGTACTTCAGTGACAGAACGTGGCCTGCGACAAGCGCCCAGTTCACCAAAGGGGCTTTAATTTTAGTTAACACACTTCTAAGATGTGAGTTTGGTGGTTGCTGTTTGGTGGTGGTTTTCTGCAGTGGATCCTCGGGCTTAAGAAGAAGGTTAACAGGAAGGAAAGAAGGGAATTCCCTGGTGGCGCAGTGGTTAAGAATCCGCATGCCAATACAGAGCACACTGGCTCGAGCCCTAGTCCGGGAAGATCCCACATGCCACGGAGCAACTAAGCCTGTGCGCCACAACGACTGAGTCTGCGCTTCTGGAGCCCGCGAGCCACACCTACTGAAGCCCATCCTCCGCAACAAGAGAAGCCCCCGCTCGCCACAACTAGACAGCCCGCGCGCAGCAATGAAGACCCAACACAGCCAAAAATAAAAATAAATTAATTAATTTTAAAAAGAAAGAAAGAAAGAAAATGGCATACATTGCTTTCTACCCCCTGCAGCGGCTTATACGGTTGGTTAAAAGTTTTCAGAGCAAGGCATTTGGTGAAAAAAGAAATCCAGATGCAATTTAACAGCAAAGTGACACGTGGCAGAGCAACATCTCTGCTGTTCGGTACACACGTTCACTGTCACCAGTACACTGAAATAAACTGAAAACTTCATGTTTGTCAACTTCAAGGCCAACAATGGAGCATAATCCATTAAAATTACACTTATCCCTACTTGACGAATACAAATTTACTCTTTTTAAAATATATATATTTACTTATTTGGCTGCACTGGGTCTTTAGTTGCAGCACGCGGGAACTTCGTTGCTGCGTGTGGGATTTTATTAACAATTACAATTTCAAAAGTATAGCTATAAAAGGTATGAGCAACTTACCCCTCTCTAGAACCTTCTGCACTTTAATATGATTAGCACAGAATCCGCTGTAGAGTTTAAAGTGGTCCGCGTAATAAAGGAAAGAGCCTCCGAGGGAAAACAGTAGTTTCTAGAAGGAAAGAGGAAAAGTTACATCAGGCATGGTTTAATCAGTGTCTGTCTGCTGGCTCTGGCATGGTGTCTGACCGCTTTGCTGTCTCCATGGCATTTGTCTTTCGGACACCAGAGCACTAATGCCTCGGGGAAGGCACTGACTAAAAGCAGCCCCGGGCGGCCCCCTTTGCCCAGTAGCTGGAGAACAGCCCGGGCGTCCCTCTAGCACAGCTTCAGTTTGATTGAAAAGTTTCTGGCAGCAGAGCCTATTGACACAGTGCACAATCAGGGACAAGAAAGAAAGTTCTATAAAAAATACGTCTGACACAGTGGGATATAAATAATCTGAGAGGCTAGTTAATAAAGCTGACTCTGCATTACTTGGGACGAATGATGCTTGCTGTGTACGTTCTTGGTCCCTTTCTACTGCCTTCCGCCTGTCCTTCCCTGGAGGGACCTCTTGCCAGTCACCAATGGCCACACTGGAGACAGGGCTCCATAGAAGAGGAGGCTCTCTCAGAGCCAGTGAAAACCTAGGTCCCATGACCACAGAGATGCAGAATCAGAGGCAGTAGGTGCTCTTGCCTCAGAAGCAATCGCCCTACAGATCCTTCTGCAGAGCTGAGTAAGGAGCGTGCGTGTCAACAGCAGGCAGACTCCATAAAAGCTGTGCTGCCCAGATGTCTGAGTCGCAGAGCATTTACTCTAGGGAGAAACGGAGCCGCCTTTTACCACCTGCCAGAGGAAAGCCATGCAATGAGAGCGCTAAACTTACCTTTTCAATAGTCAAGGGACAACACTATCTCTTCAAAGGGAGAATTTTGCACCGTTCCCACCTATGTTTGCTTTAAACCTAAGTCTAAAATACTTACTCTGAACTGCGAGGGGGTTTCAAGTATGTTAAAGTCAGCCGATGCTGAAATCCCATCCTCCAGAGTCTCCAGAAATACCTTTTGAAAGTCAAGCATCTCTGGCAAACTTCCAAAAAGTGACTCCATCTGTGTACGTGAGGATCAGAATTCGAAGAGAGGGTGTTAGCGACGGCGACCCAGATACCACTCTACGTCCCAGACGCACAAATGAACCACAAGTCATTCACCAAGAAGGAGACAGAAGTGAAGCCTTTAAAGAAGACGGCATATTCAGTAGGGGACATAGCTCACACACAGAGACTTTGACTGCCCCAGTCCCTGTAATACTAAAATAATTGGAAGTGGGTGTCAAGTTTTCAGAATTCAAACTGGGGGGAAAATGGAAAGAACTAATTACTGTGATTTAACATTAAAAAGCCATGTATTAAAAAGTAATGTGGGGGACACCTTCTACTACAAAAGGGGCACGGTCATTTATAACTCCGGCCACTGTGTTTCACGGGATGGAGGCCACATAAATGGCTTTGAAGGAGGTGACGCTTGGGTCTCTCTGAAGATCCGAAGTCTCAAATGTTCTTTGCGGATCAGTAGATAAAATCTAGGTCTGCTAAAAGGCAAACTGAGACTAACCTATGGGTCAGCGGACGAAGGGAAGGTATTTACCTCATCTTGGGTCAGAAAGGTCTCACTTTGCAGTGGCTCCAAGTATAAGTCAAAGAGGCAGCTCAGATCCTGAAAGACAGAAGAGAGTCTTTAACCCTTAAGTCTCCAAAATACCCAAGCGTTTCCGGCAGCCCGGGCTGCAGCTCAGACTCGCGTTAGGAACGATGAAGTTTATGTCCGGTTGAAACGCTTGGCCCTGCAAGTGGTGGTTCCCGCTCAGCTAATTCAGAGAGGTTAACAACACAGTACGACCAGCATCTGGACTCCACATTTTTCTTTATAGCTTGATCACCTACTCTGCGTATCTGAATATCTCAGTGGCAGAACCAGAACCTTTCTTTCGGCTGCTGCAGCAGGAACACTCATTTCCCTTCAGAGAAGTGAGTTCTGGCCAGGTACCTCTTTCAGGTGTGGCCACATCCGCTGGCCGACCTGGCTTCCTTCTCTGCCTCAAAGAGCAAGGCGGCAGCTCCAGCGTGGACGGCTGAGCTGACACGGACGGGACAAGATCCGGAGAGCTCTTCGGCTTTGGGGCTGACGCATGAGCAGAATTTCAAACTCCCAGGCTCAAATGCAAGAAAACATTTCTGAAGATGAGCAGTCATCACGTTTACAGTCTAGGCCATCTTTGAATCTCCAGTAAACTGGGTGCCAACAGTACAGAATAGTGGGAGTTGACTGTATTTACAAAACTCTTTAGATAAAGGTTTTTTTAAAATAATTTGAAGCCAAGATCAGGATATAGTTTAGTGATAGAAAAGAGTTCTTTTTCTTGTTTCATTTATTCCAAAGAATTCTGAGTCCCAAACTATGAGAAGTAGGTAACTACGTCTGCCTCCTTTTACGATGGAGAAATCCAGCTCTGGAGAGCCCGGTCAAGCCAGAAGCCTCCACAGCCTTGTGGTGTAGGTCCTGAGAGCAAGTGGACAGGCCTGTGACACTGAGTGCTTCACAATCAAATCCGCCCTGGCCTTCCCGACCTCCCCAGACACCACGGCGGCCGCTGCAGAGCAGGGAGAGGTGAGAAGTCACCGAGTCTTATCTCAGGGAACACATGAATGCTGAAAACGCCAAGTCACGTGCAGAGGGTCCAGGTTACAAAACAAGTAAAAGTCCATGTTGAATGTCAGCAACAAAAAGAAATTAAAAAATGAAAAAGGGGTGTGTGTGTGTGAGTGTGAGAGAGAGAGAGAGAGAGAGAGAGAGAGAGAGAGAATCACCATAGGCACCAGGCACTGGTTATTTTGTCAGAGGCAGAGGTGGGCTGGGGTCACTCCCTGAGCCGGTCACTGCCATCCAGGAGCAGTGACACACTGAGGGAGGCCTCGCTGAGCCGCGGAGCCAGAGCCGCAACATGGGGGCCCCAAGGAGACAAAGGGCAGGGCTCTCGCAGAGAGAAGGGAGAGCCATCCTTTGTATGCACTTCGCCCAGAGCATCCATCAGTCCTAGACCAGCGCCACGATGCAGTGACCCTCCCGTTCAAAGTGGTCTAACAGTAAAATATAACGACAGCAGTGACAAAAATAAAAAGGGACTTGGATTCCGCTCTCAACTATGCCCTCAACCCTGCAGGTGAGAACACCATGGCCATCACCAAGCTGCCACGGCGCGCAGAGCTGCTGGGCAAGGTCACTGTCGGAAGCCCCTGGATGTTCACTCCATCTCCCCACGTCCGATACAGGAAAAGACACAGTGGGAAATGAAATGGAACTGCCGTCTCTGCAGTTTTCCTTTCTCCCCTGCGGGACCAAAAGAAGAGGCTATGGGTAATTCTCCTGGGCTGCCTGTGAATGAGGCTTTCGGGAAAGTTCAGATAAAATGACAGTGATGTTAATTAAAGGGGAAGCTCAGATAAGTCTTGTGGAGAAAGAAGGTGAGAGGGGTGTGTGTGTGTGTGTGTGTGTGTGTGTGTGTGTGTGTGTGTGTGTGTGTGTGTGTGTGTGTAGGGGTGTGTGTGTGTAGGGGTGTGTGTGTGTGTGTGTGTGTGTGTGTGTGTGTGTGTGTGTGTGTGTACACCCCTGTCTCAGACCCCAGTTGAGGGGCTTGGAGGGAGCCGCCCAAAGCCACTGCAGCAGGTGAAGGCAAGGCCAGGCCTGGATTCTCAGCTCCCACACTGCTGCCAGCAATTGGCTGATGAGATGAGTTTGAAACCATTCCAAACCGTCAGCAAATACTTAAAGCAAAAGAACTCTGTCTTCCCAGGCACCTGCATTTTTTGTAAAATGCTTCTCAAACTACTAACTGAAGCCTCTGAGATGAATAAATGAACTCCCCGGGTAGTGAAAGGTTCGGCCGCTGCCCTGTGTGATGGCTGGGGACGCCTGCGAGATGCCCGGCACCCCCGCCGCGGGGCTCTGTCCCGCGCGGTGACCGCCTGCACTCCGGAGCCCGTCCCAGCAGCTGCTTGCAGACAAGCTGTTCCCTGGTTCCTCAACACCTAAAGTGATCTCCATTCCCCCTTTCCCTAAACCGGTACAGGCTCCCTTTCCACAGATTGCAAATGGCAAACCAGAACATCTGTTTCCATAGTGAAAGCTACCTCGGTAACAAAACGACCGGGGAATCTAATTTTTGCAAGCCCTCTCAGCCCTTCCATCCTCTCGCCCTCCCCTTCAGCAACTCGCCACTTCAGGGAGCAGGCATCTCCCTCGTGAGTGGCAGGGTCCCCGGCAGATACCTGGACACCCCTGCCAACATACATACAACTGGCTGTCACAGGAGGGGAGCAGGAAGTTGTGACAGCATCTTCTGTTACCTTCACATAGGACTTCTCTGTGTCCATGAGCTCCTGGATGACTTTTCGGAGGCGATCTGCATCCGAGAGGTGGCGAGCCAGCGGCCTCGGAGGCGGGTCCTGACTCTCCCTTGGTCCTTCCATGCCGTTGGTCTGGGTGTCGTTGTAACTCCTACAGAGCGCGGCGATCTGCTCAGCACTCTGGGAGGGAACAAGAGGCACAGGACGTTCTCCATCATTATCAACAGCCCACCAAAGACACAGGGGCTCTCTCTTTGCCCAGCGCCCTCTCAGGAGTCTCGCGGGGCATTCATCTAGGGCATCCGGCTTCATTCATCTCAGACGACGCTGGCTACCATTCAAGGTTCTGGTCGTGAAGATATGAACTTACACTTGTTCAGTACTTACCCATGATGCTTTTTCGCTTTCACAGTAGCTGTCTGACAGATGCTTCTTTAGTGCTGAGACTAGAGAATAAGGCAGAGCTAACCCTCTGCAATACGGCTGAGGTTGCTCTAAAATCAAGGTCATGGCTCTGTGAAAGCACAATGAGAGACAGACTCATCCGGTCCACTCTGTCCCCTCAATGGCTGGCCTAACAGAGCTCAGTTCCCACACTAAACGGCCCGGAGAGACTCAGGAACGGGGCAGCAGGGCAGCAGTTTTAGGATGGCCTGACCACAAGGGCCTTAGATCTGCCCCTAAACCCAGCCCTGGAGCTCTGCAGCCTCAGGCCAAGTAGCAGCATTAGGGGTGAGAGTGTGAGCCGCTGCATCAGCTAGGAATGGCAGTAGAGGGCAGGATGTGTAGGAAAGATAAGGTCCCCACGCCGAAGGGGTGCAGAGCCCGGGGAGCAGATGACACGGGAAGCCTGGCGAGGCTCCGTGGGAACCTTCGCGGAGGAGGGAGACTTGAGCAGCTTCTGAGCGGGAAGCAGACGTGTCAGACCCAGGACGTGGGGGCACGGAGGGTTCTCATTCCAGGTAGCGGGAACAGAATCACACACGTTAAATGGCAAGAAGGAGCGGGAACGTCTGCGGGGGTGAACAGCCTTCTGTGCAAGTTCCTGCTCAGACTTAAGCACGGCATGAAAAGCCTTCTCCAGGGGAACCCATGTGTACACTCCTGCCTCAGGCTGACGCTTTGAGGTCTCAGATGTGCCTCCTCCTATACGCCTCTACCTGCCTGGAGCACCATCAGATTACACTCAAAGTATCTTCTTTATTCCTCTTTCTTTCCATTCCTCCCACACACAAGCTCCAGCCCATCTCACCACCCAGCAGCCCGTAAGCCAGCCAAGGGCAGGGTCCTGCCTTTCTCTGCCGTCGCCCCCAAGTGCTCAGTGCTGAGTCCACCTCTGGTGCACCGACGTGATGACTGAATAACAGAGCAGCTTAGTCCCGACACGAATGACCAGTATCCATCCATCTCTGGCAACTTTCTGTCCCTCAGCTAAAACTCTCCTTTCTTCAGCTAGACGTCTCCATGCCTGATCTCCATCACGCTGTCTCGGGTCAAAAGCTGCCCCAGTCAGAAGCACCTCTTCATTCTCACTGAATTCATTTTCTTTGCCTGGATATTTCAGGACGGTAACAAGCCACACAGCACATTGGTCAACCTCAGCGGCCAGCTTGTTACAAAGCTGCCACCTGACACACCGAAGTGCCTCCCTTCTCCTCTCCTCCTCTGTTCTACGCCCCACCCGCCTTTCCTCAACATGGTGTCTTCATATGATGGGAGCAGACGACACTGACACTTGGCATTGATGTTCTGGCTAGACTTTCAGTTCAATCTGGTGGGAACCAATTGCTCTGCCTCCAAAGAAATAGAAACCAGCCCCTGCACAAGGAGATAAGACCTGCCAAGAAACACCAAAGCGCAGCCTATGGCAGACTGGAAACCAACACGAGCCTGTGTGGAACAAACGAGAAATGTGACACACGTTAGACGAATGAGAGCATCATGCTGGAACAGGCTGTCTGGAAGGCTTCAGTGAAGAATGGATTGTAACTGGTCCTGGAAGGAGCGTGTACCAAGGGAGAACCACGGAATGAGCCAAAGGCGGCGGGTGGAGGGAGGTGGTGGTGGCGGAGGGATAAGCCCAGTAACATAAAGAGCCCAACTCAAGGCGGGGGGTGAGAGCGGGGCCCCCGCAGATGTCTACGATGAGAACTCCCAGACTGCTGGCCTATTTCATATAATTGCTTCTCCTGTATTTTGGCATTAATCTTGGTGCAAAAGTTAAATCAACCATGTAACAGATACTAAACCTCCAACTAGACACACAGACACATCTGAAGTGATTTACTTCTAAAACAGCTGAAGCATGTGTAAGCACTAATGATCCTCCTTAAGTACACATATCATCCCCTTGTTTTTATCCTTAACTTTAACACTAGCATATTGCTGGTAATGCCTATCAGAAGATGTTCACTCAGAGTAAACTTTCAAAGAACAAGAAAACAGACATGGGGCTTCCCTGGTGGTGCAGTGGTTAAGAATCTGCCTGCCAATGCAGGGGACATGGGTTCGAGCCCTGGTCCGGGGAGATCCCACACGCCGCGGAGCAACTAAGCCCGTGCGCCACAACTACTGAGCCTGTGAGCTAGAGCCCGTGAGCCACAACTACTGAGCCTGCGCTCTACAGCCCGTGCTCCGCAACGAGGGAAGCCACTGCAGTAAGAAGCCTGCAATGAAGAGTAGCCCCCGCTTGCCGCAACTAGAGAAAGCCCGCGCGCAGCAACGAAGACCCAATGCAGCCAAAAATAAATATTAACTAAATTAATTTTAAAAAAGAAAACAGACGTGGATGTTAAAGCACAATTAGAATGCAACGTGACCTATCAAAATGTCTCATAACATGTTTGAAACAACCAAATCTCATGATTCATTATTGAAGAAACTCCAAACTGTTCGGTCTTACCCTAGAAGCCTGACGACACAGCAAAAGCCAAACAGAGCAGTGCAGCCAAAAGGTGGCTTTCCTTCTCTTCCAGGACATGACCCTCACGATGGAGCACAAGGGAACATCACCAAACCAGCCCCAATTCTGTCCTCCTCTTCCTGCTTCCCACGAAGCAGGTGACTTCAAGCCAGGTCACACGTTTGCTCTCTGGGAGGGGCTATTAAAAAACACCCACAGCTGGACCACCTGAATCAGAATCTTTGGGGCCCCAGGTATGCTGCTGTGTGACTCACATGAGAACTACTGGTCTACCCATCAGTAGAGAGAGCATTCTGCCTGCGGTTTCTGGGAGGATCATGTTGTCCCCAGGGTCTGCACCACAGGATGGCCACGTAAAAGGTGTGTGGACTGAGCTCACGAGATAAAGAGGAAATAGGCAGAATCATACCTGTGCGCCTGGTGTTCTGGGTTTGGCTTCACTCACGGTCCAACAGCCCAAGATAATAATACTGAGACTCTCAAACTTACTTATTTGAAATCTCTATACTGGTATTTGCACCACAAGCTCAGACAATACAACTTTGCAATCCTGAAAAACAACGGTTTCCAGGGCTGTAGGATCCACATTAATAGCTCACATATACTGTATAAAATAAGATCTGACAAAATGCACCATAAGTGAAACGGCAGCTGGTGAGATGCAGCTTTGCCTTGCTGGGATGTCAAAAATCACACCTAACAATGCAGTGTTAAAATAACGAGATTTTAAAAATAAAGTATCTTGCCATTTTAGAAAATCAGAATTCATGTTGAGAACGCTTCTGGTAAGATTAAGTTGGAAAAGTAAATGTTAGCTGAGAGTTTCACGGCAAATGCACTTTTGAAGGTAGAGCTCATAATGAAGTGCTCAAGTGCTACGAAGTCACCGTAGCTGCTATCTAGGGAAGGTTGTGAGGATTACCTGGGATCCAACAGGGCAGAGCCACTAGAAGGAGAAGAGTAATTGTACCTACGTCTTTAGATCGTATCTGAAAGAGTCACTTGGTTGGTTATATTTCATTTCCTCCGTTCTTAGCAATGGTTTTAAAATTGAACTGCTAAAGGTAGAATTCTGGGTGTATCTGATAAGCAGTTTCTAGGAACAGCGACTATTTCGGTTGGGCTATTTTCACACGTACGCGTGGTGATGGAGGTGAAAAGCACAGACAAGATTGAGAGGAACCGAGTTCCAGCCCTGGCCCTGCCCACAGTCCTCCACGCGTGCTGGGCAAGACTCATTGCTGCACCTTCAATTTCCTTATTGATGAGACAGAGGAAGCATTACCTAGCCCATCAGGTAACTCCTCAAATTGCCATTTGGACCACGGAGAAAGGGGAACTTGGATTTGTTGAGCACTTGCTGTATACGAGACAAACTCAGGGGGCGGTGTTCTCCTAGAACTATCAGGCATTCGGTCCTGACGATGCGACCGGCTGAGACTACAAGTGCCGAGTGCGAAGGCAGCACCTGACAGAACAGGTTCCTCCTACGCTCGAGCTGTCTGACGGTGCCGACCACTTCCTTGGTATCTGGCAGAGCACGGGCAAAACAGGCTTGCTTCTCTGGCTGCCTCTGCTCACAGTGCCGTCAGGGCTCTCCCGGCCCCAGGAGAATCCAGACACACCCCAGGCGTGCCCGGGATGCAGCCACCGGCCCCTGGAGGCCACCTCTGCTCAGGGAAGCAAAGGCAGCTCCCCACATCTGCACACAACTGTGACTTCTGTTAGGCTAATCCCCGCTCCCCTCCATCCCCAGGGATGCTGCTTGTGAAGCAAGAGACATGTTCACAAATCAGGGCTGGGCGCGCGTGCGGACTCAGCAGCCAGACAGTGTGTGCCTGTGCAGCACAAAAACCACACTGGAACCTGAAACTCAGACTGGTATTTCCCAGTTCGTAGTGATCAATGCTGAGAACCTTGGGTTCATCGGGGGCCTTGCCTTTTATAAGAAAGCATCAAACAGATGTTTTCCTCATGAATTCATTTTTAAAATTTAATGAAAACAGGGCTTCCCTGGTGACGCAGTGGTTGAGAGTCCGCCTGCCGGTGCGGGGGACGCGGGTTCGTGCCCTGGTCAGGGAGGATCCCACATGCCGCGGAGCAGCTGAGCCCGTGAGCCGTGGCCGCTGAGCCTGCGCGTCCAGAGCCTGTGCTCCGCAACGGGAGAGGCCACAACGGTGAGAGGCCCGCGTACCGCAAAAAACAAAAAAAAAAAAAAAAAAAAGGAAAAAAAACATTTAACGAAAACAGATTTCCC